TTTTGCTAGAGGGTATCTGTGCTCACTACAGAGACACAGAGAGAGAGAGAGGGAGGGGGAGAGAGCACTCCTAGTGGGGTGTGGGCATGCTGCAGTCCCGTGTCTGCCTCTCCGTCCTGACAGGATCTGGGGCACACACACATGTCTAGGCACTTGCCAAGGGAAGGCAGGAACGGAATCGGTCAGACTGGGCGGGGGTTTCAGGTGGAGCCACAGCTCCCAGCGGTAGAGAGCCGAGACGGAACACAGGGTGCACCAAGGCCAGGATTCGAACTGCAGTTGGCCGTGTGGGATCCAGCTTCCTTAAATGCTAGGTTGTGGGGCTGGCCCTGGGTTCATGTCTTCAAGCTTTCAGTAAGTACTGAAGGTAGTTCACTAGATATATAGATTTCAGTTTATTTCAATTTTGTGTGTGTGTGTGTGTAATTCTTGTTACTTTTCAAACTTTCTTTTTTTTTTTTGGAGAGGTTTTTGCTATAGGGCATGTGTGCTCGCCAGAAAGACAGAGAGTGACAGGGAGACAGAAAGCAAGAAATCACCCCCCGGGGGGATGGTTACTCTGCAGTCCCTTCTCCATTCTCCTCTCAGGATCCTGGGCACGAACGCACACGCGCCCGGCATGAATTTAAGCCACCGGGTCTGGACTCGAACTACGGTTGACTACATGGGAGTCGTCCAGCAACATAGCCATTATGCTAACTGCTGGTCCGTATGAGATACATCTTGATATTAGAAAATTTACCCTTCAAATGTTTGGGTGATTATTTAAGTTTAGAAACAAGTTCAGTAACAGTAACTTGATGTGCTAAGAGTTGAGTTTCCGAGCCCTGGAGGGTGGTCCCTGCCAACGCTCCTATGTTGTCCGTGACACAGGCCCCACCCTGGAGTCTGACGCCACTTGGTTCTTTCTTCAAATAAGCGGATTCTTCCCATTCCCTAGGGACCTGCTCCTTCTCAGGCTCACTGACTGTCCAGCCATTCGATTGCAGCCTGTCCCCAGTCAGCCCGCCTGCCTCCCAGAACTCCCGTGCACCGTGCATGGCAGCAGGGATACGTCCCTTCCCATCAGTTCCGTCTTGGCCCTCTGCGGCCTGGGAACTACCTACCCTGCCACTCCTGCCCAGTCTGGCTGATTTTGGTTTTGCCTTCTCTTTTGGGCCCTTGGCCTCACCCAGTGAGCATGCTTTGTGTTCCCCACAGGGAATGCCATCGGTTCTGTCCCTGTGCTGTGCTCATATACCTGCAGATCTTTAGACTTTGGACATTGGATGGTTGTCCTCATCCAGAGAGGGACAGAGAAAGTGAGAAATCACCCCCCAGTGGGGATGGCCACACCACAGTCACTTCTGTCTTCTCCTGGGGCTTTGGACATCCACACACACATGCTCGGCATGATTTTCAAGCCTCTGGGACTGGGACTGGCACCGTGGTCAGCCATGTGGGATCCAGCGCCTTAACCAGCACAGCATCTGCTGGCCCCACGCCTGAGGTTCTGCTGCGCCGTCTCCGAACTCGGAATAACGCTGCCTGTGTGTCAGTGGCGGTTCTAGCATTGGCTAAAGGAGGGGCGGCACGGCCAGCCCTCAGGCTGCAGAGCTCGAGCGCTTCCCCTTCCTTGCTGGGGAAGGTCATCGTTGGGATTTAAATTCGTTTGTCACTACACAGGCTTGTGACGAGGGCGTTTTATTTTAAACACCAAGTGGATAGGAAAGAATGGTCTATTCGGATGCTCCCGTGTGGTGCTGTGGTCCAGCCCTGGCCAAGGCCCTTCCTGGATCAAGAGAGGGTGGGTGTCTCAGGAACAGGAACTGAAATCGGGGAGACATTCCATTTTTGCTCTTTTTGTTTGTTTTTAAAATTTGCTACAGAGCATGTGTACCTGTGGGGAGAGACGGAAAGTGAGAAAGCACTCCTGGGGGAGCGGTGGCCACCCTGGAGTCCCTTCTCTTGAGATTGTGGGCACACCTGCATGCTTCTCAAGCCCCCCTCAAACCGTGAAGCTGCCACATGGGGTCCAGCTGCCTTGACCGCCATGCCACCCAGCTGGCCCTGCCTTTTGTTTTTAAGCTCCTTACATGAAGCCAAACTTGGCCCCCCCGCCACTGCGGCAGAAAGGAGGGCTTCTGACTCGGAGAGATCCGAGTGTGAATTCTGGGTGTTCCCTGAGCAGAGGCTGTCCCCCCCGGCTCTTCATCTGAGAAATTGTAATGGTCCCCCCCCTGCCAGTAGGTCAGTAGGTTGGAATTACAATTTTCTGTTCATTCAATAAAACTTCCAGATACTCTGTGTAGAGATGAACTGACTGCAAAGGGTACTGGCCAGTTTGTAAGGAGGGAAGACGCTGAAAAAAAAAAAAAAAAAAAAATACAGGAAGAAAAAAATACAGGAAGAAAAAAATATAGGAAGCTGCTTTGACTTACTTAACAGACATAGTCACAGTCCAACTTCATGGTGGTAGAAGTATTATAGAAATGGCTTCCACTGGTCTTTTTTAGAGAGATTTTTGCTATAGGGGTGTGTGCTCACTGGACACCGAGAGAAAAGACAGCCACACCACAATCCCTTCTCCATTCTCCTGGGGTTTGGGGCACGCAAGCACACACATACTCAGTGTGTTTCAAGTCTCTGGGTCCAGGACTTGAACCGTGGTTGGCCATATGGGAGTCCAGCGCCATAACCTCTATACTACCTGCTGGCCCCATGGCTTCCATTTTTTTTTTCCTTTCTTTTTCTCTACAGGGCACGTGTGCTCACCAGACAGACAGAGACATAGAGACAGAAAGCAAGAAATCACCCCCCAGGGGGGATGGTTACGCTGCAATCCCTTCTCCTCCATTCTCCTCTCGGGATCTTGGGCACGCACGCACACGCGCCCGGTGTGAGTTTAAGCCACCGGGTCCGGGATGCGAACCATGGTCGACTACGTGGGAGTCCGGCGACATAGCCATTACTCTAACTGCTGGTTCCCCCATGGCTTCCATTTTATAAGAAGGCTGGCAACTGGTATGTGAGTGTTGGTATCTTTCTAGTGAGATGGGATGGTTGTTTCAGAGCTCTCCACGATGTGTACCCAAGGAGACTGCCTCCCATTTGCAAAATGGAGTTCCCGAGGCCGATGGCTTCTGCTTTTACTAATTCGTACTAAGTGGGCGCAGGGGAGAAGCACAGTGAGAGCAGGAAGCCTCCATGGGGGGGTGGAGGGACTGACTTGTTCAGGGCCCTGAGGTGAGAGCTGGTGCCATGTGGAGCATGGCAGGAGGAACGGGGGACCCCGAAAGCACCAGGTGCTTATAGTGGGACACAGTCACCCAGCTGGGGCTCTCTCCAGTTGAGCTTCTCCGTGGCTAGCAGGGAGGAGGGGTGTAGCACAGCTAGTTTTCCTGGGGATGGTTGTAGCCCTGTCCAGGCAAGTGTAGGACAGGAGTAAAGGGAACTGAGAGCCTGGGAAGGATGGAGGAACCCCGGGACCAGAGGTTCTGAGTTTGTGTCATGGAGAAGGGTCTTAGTGCTTAGGGTTCAGAGGGGCACATTTCTCATAGAAGTGTGTCACTGAATGGCCATTGTGTACAGGGCAAATCTACTGGAAGCTGAAGAATTTAGGGCGATTTGAGAAAAGGGCATTAACTAGGCTGTCCAGTGGGTACTGGTGTCCCCTGGTGGGCATGAAGGCCCAGAGAGGAGAGCGAGACTGATCCCATTCCCAACATCCTGCTTCAGTGCAGGGCGAAGCTGAGGTGACACTGTGTGACCATCTCTGTCTCAACGGCAACCCTATGAGATTGGTGTTCTACTACCTAGTTTCCAAACAGAAAGCTACGGCTGAAAGAAATTCAGTAACATGTTGAGACCACGTAGCTAGGAGGCAGGGGGGACCTTGTTTGCTCTGTTTCAAACTGCATTTGTCATCATCCCTGCAGAAGTAGGTAGATCACAGAAACCAAGGGTGGGCGGAAAAGCCCAGCGACATGAGTCTGGGATGGTTTTAGAAGATAATGGGAGGGCCAGCAGGTAGTGTAGATCCCACATAGCCGACCTCATGGTTCAAGTCCTCGGCCTGGTAGCTTGAAAATCATGCTGGGTATGTACACATGCGTGTGCAAAATCCCAAGAGAAAAATGGAGGAGAGGGGATTGCAGTGTGGCCATCTCCTCCTGGGGAAAAATTCTCACTTTCTCTCTCTCTGTCTCTTTCTCTGGCAAGTGCACATGCCCTATAGCAAAACAATAAAAATGGGGGAAAAAACCCTATGTATGTATGTGTGTGTGTGTGTATGTGTGTGATATATATATATATATATATGGTTTTTTTTCCCATTTGGGGAAAAAATGGACTAAAGAAGATAAGAAATAGATAGAGTTTGGAAATGACAGTGGGGCGAGTAATAATGACCCCTCAGACCCAAAGCCTTGGTAAGGAATGTGTTCTACAAAGCCACTCATGTAGAGTGCATTGATACAATTGTTTTCATTTTTGTTTGTAATGTCTTCCTAACACATATCTTATCACGTACACTGACTTTATGATACAAGGCAAATAAGATAAATATTGGTTAATCTGAGCACTTAGAACCATAACGAACCCCTAGTAAGTGTTCCACAGATTCTAGACACTTTATTCTGTTGCAAAGCAGTTGTATTCTAAGAGCCCTACCCATTAAAGTTGCATTAAAAACAGTTTCAGTGGAGGAAAG